ACAAGCATACATTGCCAGAAGTATAATGAAATTACACAAACAATCGCATGCACACAGGAGGCTAACTGCTTTGGTGTTGGTATAATTTTGATTAATGGCTTGGCAGCCTGTAGCTGCTCATTAAGAGTCTTGCCTTTGGAAAACGTTGCCCTTCTACCATGAATCATTTTAAGAAAGGAATTATTTTACACACCAATATTTGGTTGTGAATGATTTCTACCAAGTTTTTGCTAGATCTCTGACCACTAAAAAAATTAGAAAGGAAATAAAGTTGTCAAGGGAATTGGAATAAGGAAAAATATGATGGAGGGGAACTCCCTTGTGTTGGCCAGTATGGAGTATATGGTGTAAGCCTGTTACAGTCGCTCTCCCCACTGATTGCCACTAAAACTGCTGCACAAATTACAACAAGCAATCACCTGAGAACTCTGAAAAATTACCAATAGAGGCTGATCAGAAGAGGGCCCAAACTTGAAAAACACTGCAGGATTCATATCCTATTCTTTCCGATCTTTACTTTGAGAGCAGCCCTAGTGTGGAACTGTGCAGCAGCAGCACGAATCATCAAAGAAACTCACTTTCTGATCTTTCTGGCCAGATACAGAAAGGCCTGGCATGCCAGAGAGTGTGAGGGAAACCCCTGCTGTGTTTTATTTCAGTTTTGCTCCTTCGGGTCCTGCTCAGGCAATGATTTCAGCCAAGGAACTGCATTAATGGCCAAATGGGATTCTACAATCTTAAGAAAAATCTACCTTTCTAAGCAAAAAAAGAGTGTGTTTTACTATATGTAAATTAAAAAGCAGATTGACAAAAATGTAAGAGAATAACTAAAAAATGAACAAATTCAGGAAACCCAGAATCTCATCAGCAGTTTAATTCATTGTTAAAATTAGGAAGCTCTCTTCACATCCTTGTCAATTTTTAATAGAATCTATATTTTCTATCTCTTTACATGTCTTAATTTGCCTTTATTCTAATCCCAAATTTAGCTTATATTTGACTGAATATGGAATGCTTGAGTGACAAGTTTTTTAATTCAGAATTTCAGGTACTGTTCCATTATTCTTTTAGCAATGAATGTGGCTGATTGGAAGTTTAATGCTAACATTTGAACTGCCAATGCATGATTTGAGTTTTCTTTCCAGAAGCTTTTTAAATGTGCTTTTTAAAACCTTGTATATTGAAACTTCCTGACAGTATCCCTTTATGTGAATTTTTTTTACCAGTCATGCTTGTAACTGTAGAATCTTTTAATCTGCACACTGGTGACTTTGGTTCTGGGATATTTTCTTGTCCTCTTTCATTGATTATTTTTCCCCTCTTTTTCCCTCTGTGCTCTTTCTGAAACTCTTTTTTTCCAAATATTAGATTTCCTGGATTTTTTCTTAATAAATTCCTTTTTTTCTTGACATCTTTGCTTTTTATTGTGTTTTCAGAGACCTTCCCTTGAATTCCTTTGCAAAGTTCAATTCAGCTCTCACAGTTTTAATTTCCATGAGGTCTCCTCTACCCTGGCTTTGATTATTTTTTCCAAGTAGATTTTTGTGTTTGTTTCATAGGTAGAGGATTTCTTTTCTCTTTCTAATATCATGATAGTTTTTTTTTTATCTCACCCTGCATTGTCTCTGTGTCTACTGAATTCTTTTTCTTCTTTTATTTTGATCCTTTCTAATCTTTGAAAGTGATATGCCAAAAAAGGCTGAGTAGAAGCTTTATGTATGAGTGAGGGTTGATGTACTTCCCTACTGAGTGACCAGGAGGCAAGCTGCCTTTTCTGTTAAGAGGGTCCCCAACTGCTAGTTTCTGGAATATTTTATTTAGGACCATTCAGGAGAAGAATGTTCAAGTTCCTCTCTGGGGGCGTTGCTGATTGGATCCTTTGTTTTTGAGAATGGGGTGGGGAAAGCAGCTGAGGCTTCCATCATTTCAATTTTAACCTTCTACTTTATCGCAGTTTTTCCTTTTGCTCCTCATTCCAGCTTTGCACTTTGCCTCGTAGCCCAAATTCCTAAGTACTTTTATTCAGTTTCTCTAGAGAATAAACTTCTGAGTTCCTGGTGTTGGAATATGCCAGATGGAGCAAGAGAAATAGATACCCGAATGCCCAACATAGAAATGGGGGAACACTGAATTCTGGGATGGTTGCCTTTATGTGTCAACTTGGCTGGCCCACAGCATGCTCTGATATTTGGATAAACATTATTGTTGTATCTGTGAAGTTGTTTCTGGTGAGATCAGCATTCAAATCAGTGGTTTCAGGAAGACAGATTGCCCTCCCCAGTATATGTGGCATCATTCAATCAAGCTGAGGATTTGAACAGAACAAAAATACAGAGGAAGAGAGAATCCCCTTTCTCTGCCTTGTTAGGGTCCAGGAATCCAGGGATCTCCCGAGAGAACAAAGCACACAGGCACTGAGATGTAAGTACAAGCAAAGTCTTCAATCAGCCAGCAAGCTGGGGCCGACAGCACCTCCCCTGACACGCAGGCCGAGTCCGAGCTGCCGACCCCCAGGCAACTTTAGGTATTGCTTATATAGGATTTTCACAGCCGTTACTCCGAAGCCCACGCATTTCTACAACCAATAATTTTAAAACACACTCTATATTGTAACCAATGGGAAGCATTGTAACCTTTTAGGGAACTCGTTAGTTGCCTAACCGCTTCCCTTGTTATCTCTTGCATTCAAGCACGTCTACGTGACTCATCACGGGTTCGGCCCCCAGGCTGTTGCCCACTTCTAGTTATCTAGCTTAAAGCAGGCGCATTTCTAAGCTTAGCCTCGGGTAGTTTATACAAAACTGGGTGGCCCTTGCTCTAGGCAGTTAGGTTAAATGTTATTAGTCCTTTTTCCTGACTCTCGATGCTCTCTGCCCTCCTTTACAGCCTGACTATATGAGCTAAGACATTGATTGGTCTTTTCCTGCTGTCAGACTTGGGCTGGTATTTACAACATTATTCTCAAATCTTTGAACTTAGATGGGTACTATACTATCAGCTCTCCTAGGTCTTCAGCTTTTGGTTCTTCTTCTCTGGAGAACCCAGACTACTTATAGGTTCTAACCACTTTTCAGACATTTAGCTAATCTCATGATTTCAGCTTTGAACCTCACCCCATCTTCCCTTTCATCACAATCCATAAAGCCTGGAAATGCTCTGAAGCTAAGGTTCTCTGCAGAGCACATTAGTTTGTTTCATGTCATTATCGCCCTCTGCCAACCAACACTTTGGTTGTAAATTTCTCCACTGCATTAAGTTATTTGCCCTCCCTGCCAAATATTGATTACAAAATTGTGTTAAAAATCTCTTTTCTGTTGTCTGTTCTTATCATTTTCCTTGCTTTTATTGTATAATACCCTTTTTAATGATTTTGCTATCAACAATATATTTGGAGATAATCAATATTTAACCAAAACTAAAAAATGTTTTTCCTCTATTATCATCTGCAAGAATCTTATTAAAGAAAAAAAATATCCTAGTGACATTTGTTCAATTTCTAATAAAGCTTACAGATTATTTTTAGCTATATATAAATATATAATTTAAGACATATTCCCTTCTGCCACTCACTTGGGTTTGAGTTGAGTATGCTAACAGACAAGAAATAAGACAATATCCACCCACCTAAGTATAATTCTTTCTAGAGTTCTTTTAGACTGAATTTAAATGTCACATCTTCCATAATGCCTTCACTGATAATCTTAGGTAGAGTTTGGTGTTTTTCTTTTATGCTCTTCTTGCATGTTTATAAACCTATATTATGTTGTTTTTCACATTTTTCTATAAACATGTGTCTAGGGCAGTGTTTCCCAAAGTAGACTGGAATTTTCAAAATTTAGGATTACGCTTTATACTTTTTATTTTGCATTACTTTTGTCTCTTATATTATTATAACCACAATTGTGTTTGCTGAGAAATGCCTTTTCTTGCTCAACAGTCTTCCCTCTGCAGAGTAGGCAGTCCTATAGATAGGTGGGAAACTCTGCTGTGGGGATTATCAATTAATTATCACATCTGCAATTACATAAATATCCATCATGTATTTGATAGAAGATGTGCTGAAGAACACAAGATATCATTTTTGGCCTGAACAGCTAAGAATCCAATTCCATGGGTTGTTCTACGTATTTAATCATTAGTTCCCCAGGTCAGTACAAATATTTTTCAACTAATTTTTAAGAAGGCCTAGAAACTTCAATATGTCACCAAGGAATCCTTCAGAATTGAAATACTTCGTGATAGATTATTTTATTCAGTGTGCATGTGTGTATATCATGTGTGTGTGTGTGTATGTGTGTGTGTTTAGGTGATGGGTGAGTCATTTGGCTGGGGTAAAAATACGATGTGGGTGTACTCCTATTTCTTTCTCTAGCCTCAACTTCATTACAGAGATGAACAACTGTGATCTCAGTTTGAGTTTGGGAAACTTGATGTTAGATCTTCTTTTCATTATTATTGTGCTAATTTTGAATTATGAAGAGATCCACCTTCAAACTATGGTCATTTCTCAACAACAAAAGAATACAGAAAAATAAAAGGATTCTACCAAGAATCAGATAAAATTGGTAATGGTTATCCAAAGATTATATTCCCTATTTATTTTACACCTATTTCTAGGTTTAGGACTAACTGACACACACAAATCTAATTTTTTTCACAGAGATTAGGTAAGGAGGTAGTTATTCTAGTTAGAATGATTTCCTTTGCCTCACAAAAGGAGTCACTGAAGCAACATTTAAATAAAGATACTCTCTCATGCATTTAAGCATTTGTTAATAGATTACTAAATATAGGGGAACTGGGCAATCAGAAGCATCAAAGCTGAAATGTTAGGAGATATGTCCAGTGAAGATCAACACTTAATAATATCAAAATTTTGTCGTGCACACTTTTTATAGCAACTGATTAAATGAGAATGTCATGGCTGAGACAATGACTTTGGTTTTTGTTTTTATTGCTTATGATCAGTTCTTTAGATTAACTGACAAAAAAATGCATACCTTGAAGTGATGCCATGAATTGTGGGTGTTGGTATGTCACTTGGAGTACCTTCCATGGTGGTGATTTGGGTTCCATTGCTTTTCACACAGGCATATTTTGTGCAGACTTCAACCTGTACATGTTAGTATATAAAAGAATAAATCCAACTATTTTCAAAAATAAATCCAACTAGATCAGAGTAAATCTAGCCAATGGACTGAATCACACCTACCCTCAATTCATATGAATCTCTTACTGTTCTTTATGGTCTTTTTGGTGTTTAAATATTAATTTTTGATATTAATTGACTTCAGTGGAACAAACTCAGAATAGAATACAGCAATGGGCTTAGGACAATTGATTAGATGATTAAAATGGTGATGTTTAGTGTCTGATTCCAGCCATTCAGAAAGAGACAGACATATTAATCTATTTGGAGCACAGTTAAGGAATGCAAGATGTCTATGTGACAGTTTGCAGGCATGATAGGTTATCACTGCATACTGCTCTCCAGATCTATAACCAGGTAGTGTAATGATGATATCTTCTGGAAGTCTTGACACTTTACAACAAATAGCCTAAATGCTAATGTCTAATGGAAGAAAAATGAGGCCTGGAGGAGCCTTCCAATATGGCTGAGCTATTTTATATCCATTTGTTCCAGCTGCAATTGTATTTTTACCTTAATCACAGCAGAAAAATCATCATTCACCCCTTTAATTCTGCCACCTAATCTGAATAAAAACTGAGGAGGGTGGAATAACTAAAGATTAGAAATCAGGTTCATCAAGCATTAGTAACACAAAAGGAGTATTCAGCAAGAGGGAAGAGAGACAAATGAATGTGCCGAGGATTGCTAGTGGAACACCAACAAAGGAACATCATTTTGCAAGGATAAGCCAAAGAGAAACTGTACTTTTTCCAATGCTAATTTACTTCCAGCATCTAATACATAAACGGAGGAGGGAAGCTAGATACTGATGAATCTTAAACACGAATACTGAGCTTTTAAGTGAAGCAGTTCTCTGAATTTCCACTGGCATTTGGGGAAACATAAATGTGATTATCATTGAATTTTGTAGCTATGTCATTTTATTCATGGAGCAGTTTTGTCCCTAAATGGGTGTTGAGGCATATTTTCATAATGCTGTTTAAGTTGCATTATTTACTTATGCCATATAGTATCTTGAGGTACTACTTAGTAGATATTTAAACACTATCAAGGCCCTCCACTCAGATTATGTTCAATTAAAACCCAAAAAACTTAAAGGCAGATGAATTTAAAATATACTTGCTGTAATAGAATGACAATAAAATGTCATACATATTGAGAAATATTTGATTATAGTGAGATTACTTGATATCAACTCAAATGATTTATTATGTAAATAATATGTGCCAAATTTTATAATGGGTACTTGTGCAAGTAATTTTATTGAGTCCTTACAACTCTAATTTCATATTTTGCATCCAGGGGTCAGAGAAATAAGGGAATATAATCAGGCTGGTAAGATATGAAATATCTGACTGGGGCCTTATTGTACCCTATTGTCTTATTATAAAAGTATTAATCATAGCTTTAAGTTCTTAACTACTTAGGTCTATTCAAATGATTCTCCAGAAAGCTTTTATTTTTATTTCAGAGAAATATGTCAATATTTTCCACATTTTTACTAATGCAATAGTCTCCATTTTGGGGGCATATTTATGGTACTATAGCTATATTGTATGACATGATGAAACACAAATATAAAGGTTTAGATATTTACATTTAAAAGACATAAAATTGAATAAAAAAATTGAAAATTTTGTTTTCCTTTTAAATAGTGTTATAGAAAAGAATTCATTAAAAAAAGTAGATACTTGGGTGCATTTATGTGCCTGCTTTAAAATCAATGGCTATTTTACAGAGTGGGTCAGCACAGAGAATCTTAATTCTAAAACATTAGGCAGCTCTATTAAGTACATATTTAAATGGAGACATTGAAATAATCTTTGTATGGTAATTCTGGACTATGAAGAGCTCCACAAAAATACAGTTATTATAAATAAGAACATCTTATTCCCTAATAAAAAAATTTAAATATTCGTTTCTAATTTTGGTCTTTTGTCTCCTGGTCTGGGTCTATGCCCCAAATCTGATCAAAATGCATCAGACCACTACTGACTGAAACCAGTAGGTATGAGTTAAAGCCTTTCATAGTAGAACATGCCTGAAACACATAAATGTCAACTCTTGTTCCATGATCAGAAAGCCAGAGATTCACCTGTGTTCCCAGCACCCAGTGATCTCACCTCCCAGTTGTATTTTGAGTCCTGATCAAGCAAATGAATGAATCATCTTTTGAGGGCTCAGCTTTCCCCACCGGGGCCCAAAAGAGGATAATGCGGCAACTCCTCCCTCATCTTCCTATGCTAATCTTGTTCATAAGCAGTTACATTTCTAATTATTTTCAATATGATTTATATTTTATAATTTGATCTATGATCTGTACACACAAATGAACTCACTCCAAGAACTAGGAACAGAAACATTGGTCCACACATTCCATTCTAAGATAATGCAGGTGAATTAATGGGAATCGTGTAGTGTAATGTAAAATAATTAATGTATCTTTCTTCTTAATCAAATATATTTTTGCTTCATTTTCTTAGGAAGCCAGGCCTGGTAGTTAAAGAGGCTATAGCCTTGGTTGCAGTCACATGATTATATATAATTCACCTTCAAATGTGGGGGAGAGCAGCATCTGGGAAAATGAAGGAGGCAGCCTTAATGAACAGAGCCAGTGAAAATTTCTGTGGTCAAGTAAAACATCAGAAAATTATTTATAAGTCTGTTCTGAAGTTTAGAAGTAGCATGGTTTATTTAAAAAATTACTAAATTGTAACCCATCTCTATAAACTTTGAACTTCTGAAATACTGTTTTCATCATTAATTTACACATACAGCCTCATTTTCTTTTATATCCTAGTGTGCTTTAACAAGATATCTAATTCCTTGAGGAAAAATTCCTTACTTAATATGCCTTAGTATAGTCTATTTATTTTTTCTATTTTTAAGGTCAATAGATCACAAGAGGTATATTAATGGGGCCTCAGATGGTCAATGCACTCTCCAAAATGTACGCTAAATTTTGTCATATCAAGTACATACATGTTTTTTTCTAGGGCAGGGTACACTGACTTCATCAGGTTCTCAAAGAGGCCCAAGGGTAAAAGCCTGTAAATACAATTGCCCTCATATAGATGAGGGGCATCAAACATTTGGTATATGATAAACACATAAATTTCTTTCATCTTCAGATAAAATGTTTTAATATATTTTTTGGTTGGCCATATATTCATTAACTTTTTGTCTTATTGCATTCAGAATCACAGAATATAGAGGTAGACAGAATGTTTTAAGTCATCTAGTCCATTGCCCTTACAAAAGAGACAACTGACACCAGGAGAGGTAACATAGTTTTCCTGAAGTTATTGAATTAGTAAAGAGCGAAAACAGAAGAGAAAGAATGTCTCCACCCTCATAGGCTCATTCTAATTTTGTCATCAATACAGAACCGGGAAAAAGGCAAACTGGTTGGTAAGACTTACTGCAAAATGCATTTGCTTCATGTTGCCGGTGAGGGGATCACCACCACTTTGTTCCATTTTACCATTATCTTCCCTCTAGAAACTCATGTGTTTGCTCCCAACAAACAGATTTAATCCTGATCCATTCCCTCCTTTTCTCTTCTCTTTCCCACCAAATAAATAATCTTCCAATGAATAATGGAAGTTATCCACTTAAAGACATAGCCCAACATGTTTTATATAACATACCCATAAGCTTAGTCCTCAAAAAACAATGTTCTAACCTGAATGTTATAGATTGTGAAGGGAGACAGATCTCTCAGAACCAAAGACTCAGGCACATTCGTTCCAGTCTTGTAGAGCTTATTATTTACATAGACAGAATATTTGGTGATGACACCATTTGGATCTGAAGGAGATGTCCAGATGACACGTACAGCTGTACTGTTGATGATGACAACCTCTGCAGGAAGCATGCCCTGAGGCTCTAGAATTAAAAGAAGAAACTGAATAAACTCCAGCTGTCTCTGAAAAAGCACTTGTTACACTAAATGCAGATTAGTATTTGGTTTTAGCAAAATATTGGTTGCTTAGCTGCTTTTCTCTGATGAAGTTATCACAGTCTATAGTCCTCTGTAAATTGGTTTATTATACTCTCAGTTAGAAACCATAAACATTGGTGGTAAAATGTTTTAGACCACCAGCATTGTGCTAATCTTCAAAACTATGTGCCAGTGGGATATGATGACAAATTATTCACCCATCTGCACCGCGAACACATATCTATTCTTTTTCTCTTTCTTATCCCTCTGCTCCATACCTCCCAGGGGAGCAAAAAAAGAAAGAAAATTTGTTCCTTAAGCAAAAAATAAAACTCAAATACATCGAGGCTGGTGGAACGTGAAAAATCATTTGCTGTTACTAGCTTGTGACTCAAGGAATATGAAGCAATAATGCAATACTGTCATTATGTAAATGATTTGGAATGTTGATTACCATAGGTAATGATGAAATCCAACATTAGAAAAAAATCTTGCTTGGCGTTAAATTATACAATTATTCAAGCATGTCAGAAAGAACTGTGCAAGGACCTATTTTTATCATAAGAACCCATCTTAACTAGTTGAAAAATTGTCCTTGCGATCCATTCTATTTTATAAACAAAGGTGTCGACCTTTGGCACCACGAAGGGAAATGGCTTCCACACTTAGAGTGCTCTACTAATGACCTGGAACACTTGCTTGGAAGGTAATGATATTATAATGTTTATAATGAGACTTTATAAAGCCAAAAAGATTAGGAAGATCGTTCCAAACACATTTCAGATTCACAAGTTGCTTCCCTTGCTTCCTCCACCTTGCTAACTGCCTTAGAAATGAGTCACAGGCAATTTTTCTCAGGGGCTGAACTTCCACCTACCATTTCTGAGAGTGACTCAGGGAGGGCCGTCATTGTGCTCGGCTGTTGGTCTGCAAAGCATACTGCTTCTGTGAGCAAATCTTTAAAAAAATGTTTCTAAATGTCACCGTTTATTGATGTGAATTCAGCTCCAAACTAAGCATACTCTGAAAAGAACAGGAACAAACTGGGCTAATATCCCATTATTAGAGCCTGCGCTGCCGTCTCAATGAGACCACTTATTGATCTGCCACTTGATGACAGCGAGCATTTAAGCATTTTAGCCCCAACCCCCTTCCCTCCGACACCGGAAATTTTATAATGGAGGGATGACTGATCTCAACCTCAGCAAGAATCAATCGATTTCATTTGCATCTCTGAAGCCGAGTATCCCTTGAAATCTGGACTCACCCTCATCGCAAGTGGTTGCCTGCAGTACTTCACTGTGGATGCTGTGGACTCCATTGAAGACAGAGAGAGAAATCCAATACTCTGTGTTTGCATTTAAGTGGCCAATGACATAAGAGTGTACATCTGGGAGGATTTTTAGAGATTCATTTGAGGTAGCAGAACTCCAAAAAAGTGTGTAATAGTCAACGTCACCTTGTAGGTCTTGGAAAGCTGTTAATGGTAAATGCAGGACACCGTAAATGTGGCTGATCTAAAAGGGTCTCAGGGGAAAAAGACAGAGAATAAACTATCATTAGCTATTCCAGAATGGGAAAAAGGAATGCTTATGGAACCTTTAGGGTGTGCTGGTTTTTATTTTTTTAAAAAAGTTGATTTTCTTCCCCCATTCCATAATTGCATAGAGTCTGATGTTTATAGGAAATAACCGTTTTAATTTCCTTTAAATACTTTAATTTTGCTACTTACAGTTATTCAACGAATCTTCAAAATCTTGATGTAGCACTTATGAAAGGAAACGAAGAGTGAAATAAAAACATACCATACATGGAACAATGTCTCTTCATAAGTAACATAGTCCAAGAAAGAAGTCTATGCTAATACAGATAAGGACATTTTCCTTCCACAGATCCTAAAGCGTAAGGCATTTTTAACTAGCTAACAAAATTTGCTAATGATATACCTAGAACAACGTTTAGGCAGATATCCTGTTAATGTCGCCTAGCAATCTAGCATGCTCTCCTAAGGATTCATTCAGTAGATTCTAGGATGATATTTGAATTTTTCCCAAGGCTCTCAGCCTTTTCTTCTAGTGTGCTGTGTCTCTGACATAGACAAGCTCATAAAGGATGCCAAAATCAACAACTGTCTCACAAATATAACTCATCAATTCCCAGACTCTCATCCTTTCAAAAGTCAATCTATTCTTTTCTTTTTCCTCTTCCACCCAGTTTCTCCATTTTTGTCCTAAATTCTGCTTCTCATTATCTTCCTACAATGATGTTTTAAAAAGAAGACATACAACGTCCCTATTTTCTCGGGTAGGAGGTAGTGCACTACCCTAGTTGCACTAATATTGTTTCTAGAGACCTTATGCAGGAACCATCACCTTGGTTTGGGTTAATGTTGGTGGGTGAAATGTTCATTTACAACCTCTTGAAATTGTACATAAAAGTATGTGTCAAAACAGGCCAGCAGCACTAGTCGAGGATTGGGAAGAAAAGGTGGCATTTCCCTTTATAATTATTGCAGTATACAGTGTCTCTAATATGTGAGATTCTAGCATATGGCCATGTAGTGGAATATGGTTTTGGGAATTGTATGACTTTCTTTTAAGGATCCCTTAATATGAAATTAAGATCTTGGGGTTTTTTGCATAAAAACTGAATCCTGTTTTTTTTATTTTTGTTTGTTTTTTTGTTTCCTAAGCACACTATTTCTAGTAATAGTTTAAAGGATTTGATATGCCAGTATAGTTGAAAGCATTTATAGTAAGTGATTTTTAACAACTAATTTGGAAAACCCTGGGGATTGAGATGTTTCTTTTCTCTGATGTCACAAAATGTAAGCACCTTGAATAACAAGGTCAATAGTATCCACTGGTGGGAGCTGGTTATTCTTGTCCTTAAGTGTTTTCCCACATTTTTTAGTCAGGTACAGCAAAGCCACTGGTTCTGTAAGAGCAAAAATTCCTCCTGTCACTAGGCCTATTTTCTATTGGCTAATAGAAGTATCACTCATTAATTTCTGTCAGCTGAGATGTAATAGAAATTGTACTAGATTTGAAGTACATGTATTTTAGCTTGTTAAGTGAGTGGTCTGGTTAGAAATTCAAGCCCTAAAGATATAATATCAATGAAGTGCTTCTAAACATTACTTACAAATGTAAATAGATTTTATCTGGGTTCTTAAATGTGCCTTGTGTCTAACAAGTTCCAATTAATGTACTTCTGTATACACACTGAAAATATTGGAACTAGCATCTTAAATTCAAGATAAGCAAAGAATATATGTCTATGTATGGATGAAATTCCTTTAAATGCCCATTCTTAGCTATATATCATACACCACCCCTCTGAAACAGAACAGGGTCCATGGTCCCAAAGAAGAAGGAAAAGGTGGTAATTCAGTTGCATTGATGGTGTCTTACTCCATGATGTAGAAACAGGCTGCAAGTAACCAGAAACCCTGTCAACAAGTACTGGATTTCTGCACTGTCCTGCCCCTCATCAACATCTGCTTGAACATTTGTCTTTCTTCATTCATTTAGAGATTACACTGCAGAGCCCAAACACAGAAGAATAGTAGGAACACATCATATCTCCATATTCCTAGTCATCTTATGAGAGGTTCTTCCTGACACAGCGATCTAAGATAGAGGCTACATCCTCAGTTCAACAGGCCAGCATGAACTTAAAGGCTGTGACCTTGACTTAACCTCTGGGAGAAGAATGCTGTTGGAATTGAAATAGCTGGTATAAGGAGTCAAGTACATTTCACCTTCCTTGTGTATTGGTATAAGCTGGGCCTGAATATATTTCTTTTTTTTAAAAAAAGAGGAAAACGTAAGTTAGAAAACTTCAGAGTTGAAGGGAAACATTATCTAAGACTTTTCAAAGGCAGAATTTTTTTAGTATATTATTCTATGAGAATGAAATGGAAGTTTTATAAAATATTTGCATGGTGTTCTTAAAAACCAAAAGGGACATGCCTTTGTGAAAAAGGTGCCTGTAATCAGGAAAAACAGACATGAAGACAGAGATGCTCAATGATCTCACTTGAACAAGAAAAGAAAGGAAACAAATAAACAAACAAACAAAAGCAGGGACAGAATTAAACTACACTGCAAGTAGAAAAGAGCAGGGTTGAAAATGCACAATAGGAAAGAATAAAGAGGGAAGTGACTAAGAAGAAATGAGTGAAAGTCCAGATAATATATCAAGAAGAGAATGAAGTTATCTAATTTGAAAATTAAATGCAATAAATAATCATGGATATAAAATACCCTATGAAACCTTGCCTGAAATGAAGATGATTTATATCTTTTATATCTATTAATTGAATAAATACACAATGACATTATATCCAAATTCAGACATATCATGGAATATTATGACATTTCAGAGATAAACTAAAAATTTAAAGATCATTTCAATGGAGAAAAAAATAAGGCATGTTTTGGACTTCTCATACGGAAAGTAAAATATTGGAGGTCAATGGAACAATTTCATCAATTTCTGAGGGAAAAGATTTTGATTAAGAATTTTACACACATCTAAGTAATTGTGTGCAAATACAATGAAAAGACTATCTTCTATGTGTAAAAACTAAGAGACTGTTAGGCAAAAATTAAGAGATTATATAACGAATTTATTTAATTTATTTAACGTCAATGATAAAATTTTTCCAATAATGCTATCAAGAAGACAAAAAGGTGAATCAAGATCCAGAACTCAGGACTGAAAAAGTTTAAGAACACTAAGAAAGGACTGGTGGTTACCATGGGGGAGGGGCTGGAGTGGGTGGACAGGGAGGTTGAAGGGTATAAAGGGGCACAAAAGTTCTCAATCATAATGTAGGTTGGTCACAGGGATGGTAGGACAGCATGGAGAATATAGCCAATGATTCTGTAACATCTTCCCATGTTGACAGTAACTGCACTAGTTGGGGTAAGGACTTAATAATGCGGGTAACTGTTGAACCATTGTGTTGTGTGCTTGAAACCAATATGATTGTATATCAATGACAGGTCAGTTAAAAAGAATTGATGATGAATGTTGAAATTATTTAGAGAAAATAATTATATAAATAATTATAATTTATAAACCAAGCATTGAAAATGGCAGGTGAGAAAGTCACAGAAAGGAATAGCACACTAAATTATTCATCATATATGAAATAGAAGATCATGGAAAAACAGAGAAGGGTGTTGCTAACCACTAATATAATTAATAAAATAAATAGCCGGTTAACTTTTACAATCACAGAGGATAAAAGTTACAGCAAGGAATATTAGTACCAACAGCTATATTTTTCCCTTCTTATCAAATAGTCTGCATCTCCTGCATCTGGGTGAGGTCATGTGACTGGTTTGTTCCATTTTGGGGCTGAGGCCTCAAGAAGCAATTGGCTGTCTCTGTCTCTACTGTTCCCAGCTAGAAAAGGACTTTCAGCCCTAAGAAATGGTGAATCCACTAGGTGGAAGAAACCAAGGTCCTTCAAAGACCCTGGGAGTTTAGACAAGGATAAGGAAAAGTTGCAGATACATCTCAGATTTACGGTTTTGGTTTCTATGCGAAACCCACGAAACAAGGTAGAAAATATAGGAGTGATGATGGGGTGGATTTAGAATTGTTTCACTGGAGACCTCTTGCATTTGATGTGTTTCTGTAGCAGCCAGGTGGACTTAGAAGTAAAAGTGTGAAAATTGTACAATTTGGAGTTAAAAATAGGACTATTAGCTTGTGTTTGAAGCAAGAGGAAGGAATGAGGATTTTCTGTGAGACTGTGTTAAATATGTATACAGTGGGAAATATTTTCTCACAAATTCTACATGCAACCCACATTTTATAGACCACGTAAATTTATCTGAGTAGGTACTGCTCTAAGTGTAGCATGCCAGGTCAACCTCAGTTAGTTGAAGAAGAGGGTTATCACCTCTCGACACAATTTTTGCTATTAAATGCTGTTCTTGGTGGGCATCTCTGTGTATTGGTCAGATATGTGGTCTTAGCTTATCAAATTCTAAAATATAGAACAGGCCCCTCTCCTTTGTAATGGATTCCCAGTAATTTAAAAAGTTGTTGGAGGGGCTAGTTGAAAAGTCCTCATGCAAGAACAGTTAGATTATGCTCCTTACATGTTGTTGGATTATTTTAGGGATTTTTATCAATATCAGTTATGCCGTCTAGATCTTTAGCCAATTATATTATTCTCTAGATTTTAGCATCTTGATCAAGAGTCAGAAACTATGGCCCATGAGCAAAATCTAGCCCTCAGGCCAAACTGGCCTGCCTCCTGTTTTAATACAATCTGCAAACTAAGAATGTTTGGGAAAAAAATAAAAAGAGAGTAGTATTTTGTGACACATGAAAATCAAATCTCAGTATCGATAATAAATTTTTATTGGAACACAGCCATGCTTGTTTAAGTATCAACTATCGCTGTTTTCACACTACAAGGGCAAAGTTGAGTAGTTGAGACAGAAGCTGTACATAGTCTGCAAAGTCTAAAATACTTACTATCCGGCACTTTATAAAAACGTTTGTGGCCCCAATCTAGAGCAGTAACAGTAAACCTTTGCACTCAGTAGGTCTCCTAACTGATTTACCTGGGATTTAATTCTTCAGTCATATCTCATTAGCAGGCTCATTGGAAGGAAATTTTGTTTAAATGTAAAAACCTAGAAGGATACTATGAATGATAGAAATGTCTATCTTATTCATAGATTCTTCAATTAGGGTCCAATTTTCCAAGTTTTGGGGTGCAAAGCTCTATGTCATTGGCTAAGTACTTCTTGGAAAATTTGTGCTTGTCAAAACTACTTCTTGAGAAAATGCTTTACTCTGCCAGCGGGTAAAGCTGCTCACACGAAGTCATGGGAAGATGCTCCTGAGCAATGATCTAAGCAAGCTCTTTATTTTTCCAACAAAATGTGTCATGGCTTCTCGCTCAGTTATGGATCAGTTAGGAAAAAAAAATAACTGCATTTTGGATCCCCTCCTCCACCCCCAGCTACTTTAGTCTCTCATTGAGTTCCAGCTCCTATCAATAGCCTGCTAGAGATAATTGTACTTAAAGGAAATTGTATATGTGTTAATTATTCATCATTCTATATTTGGCAATGAAAACAGATTAATTTCTGCTCTTTAGGTGAACTGATATGGTAAACAGGGACTAAGTTAGTTAGCTAATAAGTTGCTATAACCAAAAAGTCCCCAAAATAAAGTGACTTAAATGAAACATGTTGATTTATATCTCAGATGATAGTGCCAGAGTGAGGGAATCAGATTGTGCTCCATGTGGTCATTCAAGAACAGGTTCTTTCTTTTATGAGGTTTTCAGTCTCTTAGGGTGCTGACCGTGACTACAGAGCCAAAATTGAGAAACCATCTTGTCCACATTCAAGCCCAGAGAAAGGGTGAAGTGGGAACAGAGACACATATACCCAGTTTTTTGTGGCTATAACCTAAAAAGACAAACATTGTTTCTATTGGCACAGACACAGTGACATGGCCACAGTTAACCTCCAAGGCTGGTAAATGTCACCTCTAGATTGGAGTACATGGGAGAGGGGAACCACCGAGAAATTATTTAGGTGGGAGTGAGAAGACAGCATTGGACTGGGACATTAGGCGACAATAACTTCAAGAGGACCAGTCAGCAGACCGCAAGTTAGAAGTTCAGATCATAAGTGAGTGGGAGGGAAGCTAGTATAAAAGGCAAATACAACTATTTGCTTTGAGAACTGGGGTGATGGGAAGGACAGAAGGGAAGAGTGGGCCAAAAACAACAGGTGCTTTTTAAGAAGAGGTGAGATTTGGAATTATTTCTATGTATTGCCACCTGAACAAGGTAAATTCAGACAAAGTCAGAAGTTCTAGCTACAAAATCTGGTGTTTTCTGATTCAGAGATCAGGATGATGCAGATGCTTTTTGTATGGATTTAAACTTACTCTCCTAATGGTGACACCTTCACACTTGATGAATTTTCCAGAGAGTTCCCTGAGGTACTAGAGTGCAAGAGTTATGTCACTCATCTTTGTATTCCCAGTGCCCAGGACAAAAAAAGTCAAAGATAAATGTTTGTGGAAGAGAGAAAAAGGAAAGAGAGAGAGGAAGGTAGAAGAAAAGAAGAGAAAGAGGGAAGATAGAAGAGAAGGAGGAAGGAAAGAGACAGACAAGGAGGATTACACGAGAGGCCAGCATCTGAAAGTTGGGGGTGAGCTCCTGACAGATGGCAGCATTTGGAGGATGCTTCACTTCCTTTCTTTCAACATCTTCCTCCTTCCCTACCTCCAGTGTTTTCTCTCTCTGTTCTGGCCTTCAATGACCTCATTAGTGAGGCCACCTCAGAGGAGGGGTTGTCTTTCCACTACATTCTTTTATGGGCATTTGTTAATTTCACTGTTGATTTCAGAGTGAGTGGTCAGAAAGGGAAGGATCTTAATGAATCAGTCTTGACAAGCTGCTAATAAACGTTAAGGCTAAATGCATGAGAAATAACCACAATACTCATGCCTGAACTCTAAATTGAGTTTGGGAAGAGCTACTTACTAGATATAATTTTGGGTAAGTTACCAGGGCACCAGTTTCTATCTCAGAAGGCTTTTCTAAGAATTGTATACATAATTTAAGTGAAGGTGTTTTTGTATCTCTTCTTATAAAAATGTGATTTTTTTTCTACTAAATATAATTTACCTTCATGGTATTTCATTAAGGCTGTAATCTTTTCTTTTAGTATCTAAAGCAGGGATAAGAACCTCGTATTAGGGACCAGGTAGTTGGGAGGGTGTCACCTGTCTAATGGGGAAGCCACAACTCAGGGTCTGCTGATACTTTCATTCTAGTGCTTTGGGAACAGTTTCACCCAATCATATGATTTTTCAAATCAGTCAAATATCATTATCTTTATGTGAAATCTTCTGATTGTTAAATGGTGGCAAAAACATCATTTTTTTTTTCAAATTCTGCAAGTAAAACAATGCCTGGAGCATGAGGGAGGTAAATAGGGCCCATATGCTACCAGTCGGCATCATTTGCCCTAAAAATGAATTGGAGAAATGCAGGATGCTCATACCTTAGCTGACATCACACAGTGACGAAAAATTTTTGAACAAGTGCTTCTAAAATTTTCAACGACTTATCTCTATTAATCTGTGATTGGTAAAAATTTACCAGAAATATTTCGCTACCAAAATGGTATGTAGGCATGCGGCATGTCATAGTTAAGAAAAAATATGATTTAAAAAATACATTTTATGGTTTTCTGAAAGGCAACTGTTAATAAGTAAATATTTATAAATGTATCCATATGACCTTCAACCCATAGGTTTGTACACTTTAGCATATTAGACAATGGGCCAATTTTATCCTACCAATCAAGAAAACAATTTAAATTAAAATCACCCAGAATAGGTGGCTCTTTCACAGAGAAGCTACTAGTTAATTTACTTAGGATAGCAGGTTGCACGAAGGAAGAAAATGATAATGCAACAAGCTTTCACAGAGCTGACCCTCTTCTGAGAGTTAACCTTTGTGCTCACAAATAGTTATCAGAAAAATTTCTTAAGGTATGAATGGAAATAACAGCAGATTGCATTACCTACATCCCGAAGGTCAGAGGTTCAGATTACCAAAGTAATGAAACTTCAGTGAGCTGCTTCAGATCTATTAGGTTTGTCAGTTTTTATAAGCATGCTTACTTCAGGCATGCAATTATAACATAAAGGACCTATATTGGTGAAAATTCAGCAGCCAGATCTTAACAGCAGTATTCAAATGTTAGATGAGGGGGAGGGCATCCACCTTCGTGAACAGGCTTTTAAGATGAATCAAGTGGTAAAAGTAAAATAGAGAGGAAGGGAGAGATGTGTGAAAATATACATTAAAAAATCCATCTCCAGATAAAAACTTTGTATTTTTCCAGATGTGTCTCAGAGGGTAATCATAAGCATCAATTAACTTATATTCTTTCATTTAAATGGTTTAAGAGATTCCCCGCAGAATTGACAGAGATCATTAGAAACCTGCAACCTTATAAAAACCCCGGAGTGATAGTCTTTTGTAAAAATGGGTTATTTAGTGGCAACGTAGGTTAACATAACTAGTACTGATTTTAATTTACTACTGATGTCACCAATATTGGTTTTAATTCACAACTGATGTAACTGCATTGGGGCAAATTCACTCAAATGTTCTAAATGAAATAAGCATTTCTTAGTCTGTAACAAAACTCAAAGCCTGGATCAAAATCACATGGCTACTATTGCCCAACCAGGAGTAACTTTACATCCTTTTCATAGAAATGGATGATTACCTAGTAGGTAGAGTTTTTTTCATAAAACAAATATTTTAATTTGGGTTTTCCAAATCAGATATTTCTCAATATTTGGTAATATTCTAGCAAGTTTTAATTAAACTGTTTGCCACATCTCAAGTGATACTTACAAAGGATGATTACAGAACATATTTCTGTGATAGATTGTGTTGAATTTTCTTCTGACTATAATAATGGATCATTACTAATTAACAGATCAGCTGTGAAATGCTACTTTACTGACCTGAAAATTTCAACTAGATCTGCAATTTCAGTTCTTGTGGTTTATAAAAAAGTTGCAGGCACAGATTAGAAACATCTGTGAGCTCTTCTGCCTATGAAGAAGTGCCAGGCTATGGTGCCAGGCTAAGCCCCTGCATTAGTGAAGGAAGTCCAGTGGTTATTTCCCTGTATTAAGTTGGAATTCTGTCTATAACCAGTGCTGAAAGTGATTCACTTGGAAAAACCCATTGTATTACTGCAAACCTAGTAAATGGTTCTTATTAATAAGTGATGAGTTATGAGTTAGCAGGGCAGAACTCTCTGCAGGCAACTGCACAACATTAAGTTGTATATAATTATTACGTGGTCATTTCTATCACAACTGGCTGGTGTGACAGTGTCTTGCCTGAGGGTTTCAGCCCCAAGCAAGTTCACCATTGATTCAGTGAGACCAAGGAATGACATGGAACATTTTTGGGGTACAAGGGTTTATACCTGGCTTTATTCTCCAAAAACAGGTTGAACACTAGAACCACATCTGTATCCAGCAGTCTTCAGGTCCATTCCACCACATTGCCTCCACCCTGAGCAGTGGGCAGAGCTCTTTATATAGTGGCTCAGTCAATAACAGCTCATTGCCTACAGGTGTGCAAGCAATAGCCTAGCAGTAGGCCAGTTACACCATCAAGTAGTTGAGGGTCAGGTGAGGATCCTGGACATAGGAACTTCCATTTTCCCCACAGACAGAAACTATATTCCCAGTCCAAACGGAATGGAAGAAGGGAGAGGAGGCCCAGGAAGGATGGAGAAGTAGGAGAGATAGTCTGCCTCTGAAGAACAATAGAACAGGGGTCTCTGCTTTTTGTTGTCTCATTTTTAATGCACCCACTTTAACTTCATTTTAGTATTAACAGGGTAAGGGGAAATAAAGACCTGAGAAGCTTACTTACTTGGTTTCACCCATCTCACGTCTATGGCCGTGTGGTTAAGGACAATGGCAGTGAAATTGGCTCCTCTCTCTGGAAGACCAGCTAAAGTTGTCACAGTCGCTCCTCGGCTGGGTGTAAAACCCACACTGTTGTGTACAAGGACCTTATACTCATATGTTGTAAACCTAAAAGGTTGTTTTTTAAAAAGTCATATATAAGTTCCTTTTACAGAAAACAAAATACATAACTTCTTTTTTCCTCACCAAACACCATATTCCTTTTTTTCCCTGCAAAATACTCTTGAACCTTAGCCAGAGTGTCAGGGAAATATTTATTGGAACCACTAAACAAATACCACTATTTAAAACAAATGTGGTTTATCGTTTTCTCATTCTTATTGTTTTCAGAAATGGTGAGGATTACAGCTCAATTCAAGATGCAATTACAAATCTGGCCATCTGCCAGCCTTCTATCTGAATTTGATCCAGAGAAGTTTATGCTCTTCTTTTGGGAAACTCATCCATTTTCAAATATCAGAATCCTTCATCACTGTTTTCTTCCTATACCTACACTTCTTTCCCATAATCTCATTGGCAGACAGATAAACTGTGACTAAAGTGTACAACATTTTCCTGCTGTGAGTTTTGCTACAGGGGGCTGTATTTTGCCATCTTGTGAATATATTTACTTGAGTCAATATGGTGCAAACTGAATATTGCTTTGTAGGACAAAACTGGACATGGTGAAGTGATATTATGAAAACTTCCCAGGTCATATATTAAATCCATGATAGAGTAAAGTTGGGCAGAAGAGTATCAGGCTTTGTTTGGTTCAAAACTGCCCAGTTAGAAAAATGCTATTTATAGACACAGTCAGACTTTGACTAGGCAATAGCTTAAACACATTGCATAACACATGACCAATGCCCAGGGTGAACACTGGCCTCAGATCATCATTATCTTACTTGGGGTTCATAGCTCACTCAGGTTACCTCACATCCAATTCAGGACCTGTGGAATTGTCTCAATAAGTTCAGTTTATTAATCATGATGACAAGGGAGGCAGCCATTTGCAGGATTGTGCTAAATAATTTGACCAGACCTGTGTCAGGATTCTGAACATCTTGCTGTCACCTATGCAGAAGTCTGCCTGGCTCACCTTGATTCTCACTTATGCCCAGAAATATTTTTGCAGGTCACTGCCTCAGCCCCCTTAGGGAAGCTGATCTGCTGTCATAGCTCTAGGTAAGGACTTAGTGATTTCTCTGAGGTTATTTACCTATTTTCCCCAAATAAATATCACATCTAAATCCCCCTGTTTTACCACCTCTCCTGGTGACTTTCTTTTCTTTCTTTCTTTGTCTTGCTTTGTTGCATTGTGTCCCTCAGACAGATGTGTTTAAGTCCTAACCCCTGGAAGCTGTGAATGTGGCCTTATCTGAAAGTAGGGTCTGTGCAGACATCATCATATTAGATGAGGTCATGATGGATTTGGGAGAGTCCTGAATCCAATGAACCGAAGTCTTTATACAAGAAAGGAAAGTTTGTTTACAGCAGCCCTAGTAAACTAATAATGTATGCTTTTTTTTAGTCTAATAGTCTACATGACCAAGACAACTGAAAGGTAAAAATAGTGTTTACTGAATACTTAATATGTGCCAGGAACTTTTTATGTTTATTAGCTCATTTGTTTTCACAATTACCCTATAAGGTGCTACTATAATTCCTATTTTGAAAATGAGGAAAATAAGGCTCAAAAAGTTAAATGGCTTGTCCCAGTCATCAAGCTAGTAAATGGGAGAGTGCAGACTCAAGCCTGGAAGAATCTGATTCCAGAGCCAGCTGTTTTAACCATGATATTACACTGTCAAAATATAATGATGGTAATGATCAGAGTAATAATAACAATCATAATGATGATCTTATTTGTCCATGTGTGAAGTATCACTGGGCTTGACCTTTGAGTTATTGTTCTAGCAGGGGGATGGATTTTTGCTTATACATCCAGTTTCACCAAATTTTCTTTGTGACTCCTAGGATGGATTTGAAGGATGGTGAGTCAGGGTTACGGGTGACAAGTCTGTGACAGTGGAATGAAACAAAGATAATGGCTCACATGGGAATTGAAGCAGCAACCTTGCCTTCATTAGCTCTTTCTTTGGGTAAAATACTTTTAATTCTGCTTTACTTCATAAAATGACTTAAAAGAAATTTAGCTAATGTCTGGATGTCTAATCTCATCTACAATATTTAATGTTTCTTCTACATATCTATGCTATTATACATTTAGCAATCTTGATGGCTCTAAAGTGATACTATTTTGTGGTTCTTTTCTACAAATGGAATTAACATTAGGTGGCAGTAAAATGGTGAACTGTAATTAAATTCTGTAGGGCGTTAGTTCTTATGATGATACTTTAAGCTATTTTATCATAATTCAGGTATGGTGAACTATATGATTTATGCCTGTGCAGAAGAAATATAGATATATGTAGCTGGAGTGCCTGCTTTCAAAGTAATATTCAAGTTTTGGAATGAGACCTGGCATTTTACAGATAAGAAAACTGACACCCTGTAAAGTGAAGTAATTTTGCCTAAAATTGTTAACAGCTAGTTATGATGACAAAGTGCGCTTCTCTAGTTTCTTCATTTCCAATATCAAATTCTTTCCACAATTCGTTATTTTATTTAATTGAGAAATCTGTAGGCATTTACCTTGATGGTATGCATTTTTTTTGCATTTTCTTTAATTTTCATGGTTAAGTTAAATTTTAAAGGAAATAAGATCTTGAATTCCCTTAAATGGAATGCTTAATACTTTTTTGTTCATCTGAAACCTAATCTTTATGTTAGTAGGTATATATGCCTATGCCTATATGTGTTGGTTTATATTTCAGCACCTCATGTCAGAAAAGAGTTTATTAGTGTGTTTAAAGTACTTTTTTCATTCACTCTAGGCATATTGTTTTTTACATAGATTTATATGTTAATTATAGATATCAAATAGGACATTCCATATAATTAATAATGAAAGGATGCTTTTTAAGAGAAAAATGTTAGATCAATCCACATTATATAGTCATGTAAAACTCATGTATATCAATCAATCTCATGCCTAAATACTAATTGTATTCCCAAGTATGTTTTGAAATATGTACCATTTCAAACCCTGTAGGAAACAATTTTTGAAATATGCAAAGTGAATGTACACTTATACTGAGTCTATACTGTAGCCAGTAAAACCAATTGAAGGTCAATTTAGGAACACTGGGCTACTAAGATAGTTAGTCTCTCAATGATTAACATGTTTGAGATCTTATCCTCAAACTCCTCCATTTACCAACACATAGATAATGGACCACCTGTTGTATTATAGACATGACTATGATTATTTTTCCTTGTAAAAGATAATATATGTTAAAATATTTTTCATGGAATAATATTCAAGGTTCAGTTGTTATTATTCAAGTGTATTAGAAAACTAGGTTCTGTTTAGGTGATGGAGTTTTTAATCTGTTCACTCAGTAGATAATTTTATAAGTAAAGAAATGGATATTTCATCATTACTAAAGCATTCAGTTTCATAACTTTTAGGTCACATATAATTTGGTAGTTTAGTGACAAAAAATCTACCTGTCCAACAGAAAAATGATCCCTTTGGAAATTTAGATTTTTACATTGCTTTCTCTGTTTGATACACCATAACTCCATTCATTAATTTATTCATTCATTCAAAAATACTTATTGAACACTAAGAACATTCTAGATGATAACATAATGGATGTTATATTTGTCCTACTGGAGTATATGCATTTTTACAGAATTATGTTTTTAAATGAGAACCTGTAAAATATTAAAACTTTTTCTTTTAAAGTGCACCAGATAGAGCACATAATTTAATCTTATCTAATCAGGAAATCTTCACAGAGGAGGCAGTTTGGCTAGTTATTAATGACAAGTGTTATTTTGTCTAGTGAAGACATATGTCCAGTGGGAAACATCATTCCAGAGTGAAATGTGAAGACTTGTATCTTGAAAGAGTCTGATGTGACTGTGGAGCTGGTACAATTCCTCAGTGGAGCCACAGACTGCCACAGGATATTTTCATCAGAATTAAAAATGTGTCAACTTTATTGATGTCCTAAAAGAATTCATGTGTCAATATTGTCACCAATATAAATCATGCTTCTGAAAAATAAAGGCTATTCAGGTGCTTCTCCCACTAACTCGTCTTCATATCTGCCACAACCCAACATACGCTTGAGTTACAACAGCATATAAGCAAGGATTTGAGAAACCTGTTACAGCACAATGTTCCTTACACCTTCCAATCCTTTGTGGGAATGAATAAAGAGCAAACAAATAAATACGCAACAATGTTTCTACTGCTCAAAGCTGCAGTTGTTTCAATTTTCCATTGATGGTACCTACCTGTTTTTGATATCACTTGTTTGCTGTTACACCACTAAAAATGCTGATGATTGATGCTTTTGAAATTGAAGTGTAATGTTTCCCACCCTTGAAAGTTATTATAACATGATGCCTTTGTATTATGAGTACAATTTGTAGCTTTTTACAGAATTATGTAAAATTCTGTTGTATTCCTGAAGCTACCTATGCTTAACACTATCAGAATGTTACACCTAAAATAATTTTGCTATAATTTCCCTGTTCAACATCATCAACATTAGGAAAAAAAAATGCAAAGAAACTAGGTGTTTTTTTTGAAAAAAAATTAGGAAAAAATATCTATGATAAAATGCATCCTTCCACATTTACAGACTCATTTTTCATGAGATAGGTTTCACATTCTGAGACAGAAAAGGAGAACCGGACATAAGAGCAATGAAAAAAAATCCCAGTAGAGAAAAGCACTGTAACTCTACTAATTTAAATGTGAAATAGACACTTTTGTTCATTTTGGATTAAGTGCATTGTTATGAAATGGTGCACTATTGTTGAAGGAAGTTGGCTTTCATTCCTAGACTCAATTCTTATTCATATTTTTATATTAAGAAAGAAAGTAAAAGATGAGATCTACCTCATATTGTTGGTCATGGGAGAAAGGCCATCCTCCTACCCAACCTCTGTATGTACAGAGCTAACTTTTAAATTAATATCTACAATTTAAACATATTTATACTACAAGAAGATGTGCTATAGAGCTGACCCAGCCTTGCCATATTAGCAAAGTAGGAAATGTCATCTGCAATTGAATGTGGAGTGGAGAGAAAGTTATATTAGTTTAAATATTATCATCCAGAAACTATGTCCTCTGTTAGGTCTTGAAACATTTCATTTTAGGTTTAAAAAATATAGAATCTATGTTAGTAAGATTCAAACTTAGATTTTATAGCATATTTAGCTGAAGCATTTAATTTTAAAACAAGTCCAACCATTCACTGAAAATGAGATGAATATTTATTAATTATGAATAAGTTCCTTTAAATATAATATAGTCAGTGGATTCTTGAGACATCACATGGAAGTCTTTTTCCAGACTGTCACTGCAAAAATATACTTTCAGGAATTTGTGAATAATTGAAAGGAACAGGAATTAAAACATACCTCCCTAATAACTTAGTGCCAGCTAAATTATTATAATCAAAAGTCACTATTTTCCTTGAAATAGAGAAAAATCCCTATTATTTCTTATAATTCATCCTTTTTTCCTCAAATCTAGAACAAAAAGGACATGCCATCGCTGTGTTCTTAGTAGTCTTCTCTGATCACCAACGTACTGTGAGGTGCTGACAATTGTAAGTGTGAATTGATGCTTAAAATGAAGGAGGTTGCTACCCTCTTGTTAAATCTCACCTGGCTCACCTCAGCAGCGGCAGATTAACACATGTTCACCAGATTTTTCAAGTGATGAAATGTCAGGAAACCCAAAGTTATGGTTCCCCCTACAACCATCACTTGGGCACTTAGCACAGAATTATTAAGGAAGAAAAGTTAGAAACTGACAATAAAAACCTACGATTACCCTAGTTTGTGTCTATACAGACAGAGCAAAATTCGATAATGAGGAACTAGCTGTGTGACTCCAACAAAATCACCCCCTAACTAAGCCAATCATAAGAAAAAAGTCTTTTTGTTTAAACTATCTGGATAGTTAGCTTGATATTCTACTTTGTACGTGGAGATAATAAAGGAAAAAATAACTACTAGAATGCTTTGAATTTCAGAAAATAATAACGTTCTAGATGAAATTTGTGTGTTTTGTGTATCTTAGATAGTTGACCAAAGTAGACCACTTGACCAAGGAAATTGACTTCAATTTATATTTACTCTCACAAACATATTTATAACTAAATGCCCAGGGAAGCCTAAATTTATTTTACCTTTCACATCAAGAGAAGTGCCATTTCAATAGCTGATATAGATGCAGCTATGGTGATTTCAGGTTAAATGGGAAGAAGCCCTTCAATATTCTCTTTACTTAAGTAGATGAAAGTTAAGAGGAAGATGATAAGGAGTGGTGGAGTCTGGGGAGAACAGGAAATGACATATTCCTCTCAAGGGTATTAAAATTAAACTACCACTACACACATATGTAAACAACTAGCCAACCAAATGTATACATCAACAAGACAAATATAAGTCAAAGGGTATGGTCACTAGGAGCTGCAACACAGGTGAGCAGTGGGCTGAGTTGAGTCCCCCAATCTTTCCTTCTGCAGTTGGAGAGAATACTAGCCGATGGGCAGGGAAGGTGAGTGCTGGCAGCTAACAGTCAAGGTGTGTAATGATAACATCTACAGAACAAAATCACTTCTTTTTAACAGGAAAACTGTCATAGCACATAGCACCCACCAGTGGACTAATTTCATTTTCTCTCAGACTTGGGCCGAAGGGGGCCCTAGCTTCTTCTGTATTTACAAAGGGTACAGGGCTAAAAAAAACATTCTCACACTACGAAGACTCACACCATTTATTTTGAATATTAAAAAGAAAAGTATATCTTTTTTTAAAAAAATCACAAGTTAGTTACATGGGTCATAGCAATTATTTGAATACATATATTTTTTTGCTAGTCCTAGCAGAAAGAGAAATCCCCTGACATTCAGCATTATAAGGCTAGTCAAAATATCACCTCAGCACATTTTGTGATAGGTACCCTTGACTTCTAGAAGCAGCTGTCATCAGTATGTTTATGTTACCTTATGTTTCAACTTAATTTGCGGGAATTTAACTTTATTTCTTTCCTTAAACCTTAGATTTGGACCTCTCATTAAAAATCCCTAGAGGCATCATCAAAAATTCAATAATAAACATCTGGCCTTGGTCCTAATTCTTTAATAAGTTTTCATTTCTTCTCTGAAGAAACAAAACTAACTTTCTGAGACTTACTCTGTTTTTCTGCCAAACATCTCACGGCTAAAGATCCGATTCAGTAATGTTACAGAGTGTCAAGTTCTATGTTTTGGAAATTGCTATATTTAAGGCATTAGAGTTCACAATTCATAGCTACTTCTTCAATGTCAGTGTTAGTGACGCTGTAGTTAACTGTGATGACAGCAATTCCTGTGCATGTAACTGTGTGTGTGTGGGTGTTTTCCTCCACTAGATGGTGAGCTCCCTGAGGGCAAGGGTTACGCTGTATCCACCTGTTTTCCTTATCACAATGCCTCTTAGCATATAGTAAGCTAAAAGAAATTGCTGAACAAATGAATTCCCTCCACTGAAGTGATGATTATGTAATGATGTTGGTTTGAATAAATGATGAATCAAAAATCCAAAAATAAAAAAACAGAGAACAGTCTAATGACCATAATAATTTAGGCTGACTTACAAAAATGGCGACTTCATATGATTCACTTTTGCTTCACTCTGTGCTGCCTCCTTCCAAGAATCTTACAGTATCTATAATGTTTTATGAATACAACCCTTTAAGATGGATGAGGGAATGTTCCTTAGTTTTACCCATTCTCCAAAGATGATAACACTACAATTACTATTCCTAAGGCACAGAGAAATGAAATAACCAACCCTTGAGTGAATTAACATATTCTTTCACTGAACAACTATTTGTGCGCCCACTATAAGGCAGGCACTATTGCTAGGAATTGAGGATACAGAAGTTGTGAAGACAAAACTCTGTCTCATGATGGGTCTGACAGTGTGACCGGGTGTCCAGAGAAGAAGGCAGGTAGTCCATTACAGTGGCGATAGTGATCACGTGAGGGGGTGGGTGTGCTATGGAAATGCATTAAAGGGGCAGCTGATTCAGACAAGGGGAAGAGCGAGCGGGGAAGCCCACCAGGAAACTTCTAGGCCAAGCCTTGAAGGATGACGCAGTCAGACCAGGGGAAACCGCAGCGATGGGGAGAGGCTGAGTGAGTGTCACAAGTTGGAGGTACCCAGCGTAGTGTGGATGTGGCTGGAACACAGTGGCCTTGGTGAGGTAGAGCTGGGAAGCAAGGCCCGACTTGTAACCAGAGGTCAGAGCAGAGCTAATCAGTGGTGAGTCTAAGAAAATAGTGGAAAAGTTACTGAAAAATATATTTGAAATACCTTGTTTATATTTTTATTAAGTAATATTTGTTGTTTTGAAATTTGATCACATTGCTTAGACTCATCAATGTTTAGAAGTCATTTAATCCTATCCAACCTCCTTGTTGTTGAGACAACAACCGTGAAGCCCAGAGAAGTTCAGCGACTCGCCTACGGTCACTAACCTCATTCTCTAGCACAAGGTGGAACAGAGCCCAGATCTCCTAACTCTCCCATGCAGTATTCCTTTCTGACATTGCCTATTTGCTTGTTTCTTGATTTCTTTTAACCTAGACTGGATTCTTTCAAGTCCCAAACCTGTCCACTAACTCAATTCATTTTTGGACACAGTCAATAATTTATAATAATTATTTCCCAGAAATAGCATTTTACAAGTGCTTAGTAATTTCCCCAGTTTCTATATGCAATATTTCCAAAGTTCTCTATTAAGTTTTCATGTCTGCTAGTGCTGTAACAAAGGCAATAAGTTAAGGTTCAAACCTCTACAAATTTGACTTCAAAAGGCTTATTTTAAGCATAGAGTTATGATGGCAAACATTAAACATGCTGACTGTTGCAGTTGAGTGATCAATGCCACCGATAATAACCAAACATGTTTTATGGCATAACTGATAACATGCTCACACAATGAAGACAACTAAGATACTTTCAACTATTCAACATGCCCACAACTAAATGCCAGCATTTGTTTTTATAGTTTTTGTAATCTCACCTGCTAAGACCCTTATCTTCATAAAACCACTGAGTTCCTGAATAAATATTGTACCACAGATTTAAATCTTCTGGGGGATTTGATTCAAGTGGTTGCTGGATTTTACGTCTTAGAAGCTCATATCTAAAGCAAAAGACAAGCAGAAACATCAGGATTATCTTAACTAATGTTATTACCAAAATTCAGGTTGTTTCACAGTATGAGTATGTCATGTACACATGCAAACATAAAGAAAACATCTTAATTTATAGTTATGATTTTTTTCCCAAATAATTATATTTTTCTGGCTCTGGTTTCCTGTAGTGAATTATTTAAAAATAATCAGCTACATTCACATTTTACTATTATCAGTGAGAATAACACTTTTGATTTCTTCTGTCAAATTTGTCAAAACTTTATTGATAGTTTCAAACAAAGTAGAAATATTAAATACTTACAGAGTTAATGATTTCCTAAGACTTCAGCCATCAATACTTTCTAAGCAATGAAAATATTTTCAACTCTGTAGTCTTGGGGAAGTGTCAAGTTTAGGTTATGAAGCCATTTCAGAATTGCAACTCCTTTCTTTTATCTTCTCTATATCCCTGACTATATTCTTTACAAATTTCCAGATAAATAACATGCCAAAGAATTATTGTGTTAGCTTCGGAATTTTGAGGTGTATTTGTGCAAATGTATTTAGAACATGCATCAAGTTTGCACAACATCCAATAAAAATACATTTTGAAAATGAAGATAAAGATTATATCAAGAATCATTAGAGAATAGTGATTGTTGTTGCAAGGGTTTTTAGTTCTTTACAAAATTATATTTCTGCTTGATGGAGTTTTATGGTTCCATATAAATCAAGATGCACAACCTGAAATTGTATGATAGCCATGAGTGGAGACTACCCAAAAGGAAATTAGTTCTATTTTCATATGTAAGTAGAAGCCTCCTTCCATCCTTACTGGAGAGGTAAGACCTAAGCAAAACCCAAAAGCACGGTCACTTTATCTTACCTCAAATTGGGTCCATTTGGCTTGGATGGTGGCTGCCAAGAAATCCCAACATACGATTCGCTTACTGGAATCACTGACAATGGGCTAACATCCTGAGGTAGGGTGGGGTGGGTGGTAACATTGGTAGGTAAACTCTCTGTGCATCCCCCTAGATACCCGTTACCCCCTGAGCAAGCCACAATGGTGACAGAATAATTTGTGAAAGGAATCAGATTAGTGATTTCTTGATTTAACACTGAGGAAGAAACATTGGTTATCATGATGTGAGGGTCTGGCATGCGGATCTCATAGCTAAGCAGGTCTCCATTCTGGATGAGGGGAGGTTTCCAAGTAACCTGAAATAAAAGATAAACTTAGCATCAGTGTGACAACACAGGAACAGAGCCACTGACGTTCACAAGGCCTAGAATTTTGCTCTGTCTAGTTTTCAGTTAAGACACTCTCTTAATGCCTACTTTCAACTTAGCCTTTCGCTTGCGACAGTAATGAAGGGTTTGGGATCAATTAACGGGACACCAGGAACTAAAAGTAATGCTGTTTCCTGGGGTTGGCTTTTAGTCTGGATATTTTCTAGGACCATCAGACTAATACACACCTTAGTGATTCATCCGCCGTGCATGCTCTGAAGGACACAGAGCATACACACGGAGGAAATTCACACATCTGCGTGCATCAATGGAGCAGCAGAGGATTTGATAGTTTCCATATTTACAATTCAATTAAATGAAACATCAGAACGTCTTACTTTGCATTGTTAGTGTGTGCTCTAAATATGTCACCACTTTTTTCCTTTTGAATGGTGGAGGCCAGTGGGGAAATCATTATTTGCATTTTCTGAGGACTCAACTGAGTTCCGGAACACCACTTGTGCATAATAGACAAAGTAAGGCCATAAGAACAGCTCCTGTTCTCAAGGATAGCAGATGTCTAGAAAGCTTTTAAAAAGGCAAGCAAGGATGATCCTGTTTAACTCATGGAGTTGAGCATCGGAAAAAAGAAACAATAACATTTTTGTAATGGAATCCCACAAAGTTTAATATTCTTATTGCTGGCTAATTTTTACTTTCAAGGGCAGTAACACACTCGTGCTTTTGGAGGAAAAGGACCCTATAAAAATGTTCATGACCATTAGAAAATCACCTATTTATATGCTATCCTGGTTCATCTCTTTTTTTGTTGCTTTGCAATGTTCCTTACATTTTAGAGTACATATTTTATCTCCTAAATAGATTGCAAATTTTTTTGATATCAGGGCCTAAATTATATACCCATTGAATGCCATACACACAGAGGTGGAGTTCAGTAAGTAATTGTAGTTACAGCTAATTAGATTATGGTTTTCCCATAGTATACATTTATTTTGAAATGTTAAAGACAGATTTCTACAAAGTGATATATTGATACTTTTACATTTGTGATTATACAAAATCAGAGTCAGAAAGGAGTAATAGAAAAACTAGAATAGAAAGAACTGACTAATATTTTCTCTCTTATATCAAAGAGAAAAAAATTTCTTCCAGAAGAACTGTTTTCTGAGATTTTCATAGGACATTCCCAAGAATCAGTGGTGACAAAATGGGCTCCTACCACAGGTCAGTCAGGCAGTTCCTTGATTATTACTGTCCTAATTTATAATTAACAATGACCCAATATCTACTTAAATTTTACTGCATGGCTTGAAATCATTACTAATTTTGAAAACCTCTTAGAGAGTTCCACACTGATCTGGCATGAAGAGAAGTTTTAAATGTGTTCCATATGGGCATAGTTGATTTGCCTGGATGTAGAAAAGTATTTTCTTTTCAGACCTAGGATTCTATTTGTTTTGGAGATGCAATCCTCTCTGTTGACTTAAAAAATGAGTCAAGATCAAATTCAGGGGGCTTCTTGGTACTTGTAATGTAAATGAAAGATGGAAGGGTTATCACACCTAAATTCGACCTGACTGATATGTGGAATACCACTTCTTTGCTTCTCAAACCAGAATATTCTGAGAGTTCAAGTCAAGGCTTGGCAGCACCTGAAATAATTAAAACTTCGGGGATAGTCTGTGTCGGCAGTTGAGCTAACGGTAAATTGATTTGGAATTTGGTATTGAGGCTGAGAAAAATCATTTGTAAGATAAAACTTGAATAAGATATCTACCCGCAGAGACTAAGAGATCTGATGTAACAACTCTAGAGTTAGTCATCTGAAGATGTAAAAAAGAATCCCTATTTTCTGTAAACTATAAATGTTTACATAGAGAAATAAACTGTTTTTCTCATTTAAAAAGTTACAGACTTCAGAAAAGATATCTTTTTGATAGTACTAAATTGGAAGACATGAATCTATTTCTACAGAAAATGTTAGGACTTTTAAAACAAGGTGAAGCCCATTGACTATAGTCAGTGGGCTAACAGAAATGTATCTACATTGATTACCCTTCTGAAAATATCCTGGAGCCATTATTTAAAAAGCTGTTATTAAAATGTGTCCAAGATTTCTAAGAAGCCAGTTAGCTACATGTTGTATTCTGTTATTTCATATGCTTAAGGCCACAGTTACTGTAGTGTGGCAAAAATAAATGAGATTAAAACTTTGATTCAGATTAATTTCCAATAGTCTACGTTGTATCTGTAGTTCACAGGAGGGATTATGAAATACTGCTTCATCCCAGAAAACTCAGATGAAAGAGTACGTTCCTCTCCTGAATAAGGGACATGTTCTCTAAAACAATAATTTTACATTGAAATCTTTTACGTAGGATAGTTTCTTGCTAGAAATAAAATGTTTACTTCAGAGATGCCTTGTCTACCATATATATTTTTTTAATTGAGTGGTTCTTAATTGCTTAGATTTCAGCTTTTCTGGTTAGCTACTATAAGTTTCAGAAAATAGAACAGGTAAGTAGCTGGTTAGTTGTTAAGGAATTACAGACTTCAACCAACTCTTTCACATTCCCAGAGTGGCTGGCCCTAAAGGATCAAGGCACCTCCAAACACCCCTATGTTAAGCAAAAATTTCTGAATTCAGGTTGATTGGTTTCAGGCCTGAGAAAAGTAATGCACACAAACACCGTAACTTCCTTTTCTAACTCCATCAAACTATATTTAAGAATTTCATGAATGAGTATTTATGAGGATTGATGTCATGGGTTGAGAATGGGCAGAGAATAAATGTCACCAATAATTGACCCAGGCTATTCAACCAACGCTGTGAGACTTCGGGCGAAATACTTCACATCTCTGCACCTCAGTTTCTTTTATGTCTAACATGAAGAGACCACTCTTGCCCTTGTGTCTACATATAAGATTATATAATCTAAGACTACTTAATCAATATGAGATGTGAATGTACCACAAGACCTGAGAGTATGGTGATATTGAATCCATATAGCAATTCCTCTTAATAACTTACCCTCTTGCAAAGCTTCTCATATAGACTAGGGTGTACAATAAATATTTGTTGAAGTGAAAGGTCTCATTCAAAATGTCCTTACCTTTTAAAATTGTTATTAGTAATTTTTGGTTTCAGATATTAGGTTTGCACTTCGTAATCAGAGAAAGAGGACAAAGATACATAAAGAAAATTTAATTATAGTCCTTCTTATCTACCTCTTCCCATCCCTCTTCATTGACACTCTCACAGTGAAAAAGTGAGAGCCTGGAATGTATTCTACCATACTTTCTGGAGTGCTTATACAACAAAACAAATACATTCATACATATGTAAGATTTCATTTTCATATTTTTTTCATTCTATACCCATTAAGCTGGCACATTTTTGCTTTTTATATTTTTGGACTTAACAATAGATCATGGACACATCTGTCTTCTTATTTTGATTATTGCATAATATTCCTTTCATGGCTGAAAACAAATTATTCAGCTATTACCCCACTGATAATTTTAAATATTCTTTACTGATAAAAATAACATTTGAAAATGCCTGCATGTATACCATTGTATTTATTTATTATTGGATAGATTAACAAGAATTGCTATGCCAAAAGGTCAGTGTATGTTTAATTTTAATCATTACTGATGGATTATTTTACAAAAAGGTTGAGGTAATTCTATCACAAACAGTGAGAGAAAGGGTCCAGGTTCTGCATCCCTACAAACTCTGGATATTACTGTGCTTTTTAGGTTTTGTCACTATGTTTTTGTTCTTTAATTAATTTGCATTCCCTTGACTTTTTGTGACATATATTTAAAAATATTATTGACTGTTTATCCTCTTGTTTGAATTATTTAACCATATTTTATACTTTATATTGAGTTCTCTTTTTTATCATAAGTTATTAGAAGATCTTTCTTTATTAAAAGGAAATAATTTTTTTCTTTACTATATGTTACAGATGTATTTTCCCAATCTATCTTTTGGAGTTTAATTTTTTTTTGAGGGACCTTACATCTTGCAAAAAAATTATTTTCTAGCTAAATATAATTATCTTTTAAGGCTGCTGAGTTTTTTTTTTCTTTAGAAAGAGTTCCCAAACTTTAAATTATATAACATTCTTAATTTTCTTCTAAGCTTTCTATTTTTTAACATTACAATTGAATTTACTGAAATTTTAGTTATGAATTAATGATAGATCTAATTTTTCTTACACATGGATTATCAGACGAGTATCATTTTTAAGGCAAACTATCCTTTCCCAATGAAATAAAATGTTATTTCTACAGTAAGTCAAGTTCCCATGTAACTGTATCTGTATCTAAACTCTCTAGTCTTTTCCAATGACAATTTGAATATTTTTATGCCAATGCTATACATACTGTTAGGATTCAGTAGCTTTAGAGTAAGTGTAACTACTGAGGAAGGTGTGTTAGCTCACTATTCTTTTCTTTCACAATTTTCTGGAATATTTTAATAATTTAAAATCCATTCATCCAGTCTGAAAACAAAACAAAAACACTGGCATTCTGATTTGAATGACGTTAGGTGTTTGTGTGAACTTTGGAAGGATTGACTTGTAATGGAAATTAGTCCTTCCATTGAGGAAGACAGCACATTCTCTCCATTTGTTGCAGTGTAAAGAAGCTGAGAACAGCGTCGGTTCTGGGAACCATACTGCGTGAGTGTCAATCCCAACTTTTACCCCTTATGTAATCTTAGGTAGGTCACTTAATCTGTCAATTGTTTTCCTGCCTGTGAAGTGGGGTAACAATAGCATCTATCCGAAAGGCTTGTAGTAAGGATTAAATGAGAGGGGTTCCTGGAATTCACTATGATCTCAATAATTATGATTTTATTTCCTTCCATAAAATTTAAAAAATTCTTATGGTTTTATTTAAGCAGACATCAAAGACCAGTCCATCTCCAAAATCAGGTGAGAATGATGATTCAG